GTTCAGAGTTTAGATTTGCCTAAATAAACTAAATATATATAGTAAATCTAAATACATGCATAACTACTGGCTACCTAGCCCCGTACCGTATTCCTGTTTGGGTGTGTGGTCACATCATGCACATCTCGTGTGACATACACACCTGTTATTTGGGTTCGTGTAACCCCGTTACAGGGCGGGTCGCACAAGATGGTGTGATTTTACATATGTGTGGAATACACAAATTGGTGTGAGAAAAAAGTGGTGTGGCTACACCGTAATAAAGTGGCGTTGCTGGCAATTCGGCTCCACATTTCCTCAAGCAGCACCAATTCGCTATTGGTTTAAATAAACTGCCGTGGCAGTATTGCCATTACAATTGCATATTACTATATTAATTAGGTTTCGCTATACTGATAAGGTATTATTATATTAATTAGGAAAACCTGGGGTTTTAGATTTTGGCGGCTCTGCCGCAACCAAAACAATCGAATACAGTTTCGTTTTTGAACAAAAGTGGTTCTTTGCCTTGGGAAGGCTCAAGTACTTACTTGATCGTAATTCCTTCTCTTAAGAGAAGGAATTACGATCTGCTTCCCTTGAACTGGTTCTTAGAAAGAACGTAAGGTCGGTGCCCTTAGTTTGGCTTCCTCTAAGCAACAAGCTACGGCAGCCCCGCTGCACTTGGTAGCACTCGTAGTCAATCTACGCCTGAGTCGCTACGACTGATCCTCTGTGAGGATAGAGGAATACTCCTATTTGCCCCAAGGCATGCAGGACAGGCTTATTAAGCTGGTGTCCCTGCTGGGCCCTGAGGGCGTGGAGCACCTTGTTACGCAAGGGCTCTAGGCGATAAGCCCGCGCCTACAGGCGTTTTCAAATTATGAAAATGCTCTGTTAGAGCACTTTCAGGAGAATCTGTCAGCGTCGACTGCATCAATGACGCCACCGTCGACGACGGATGATTCTTCCCGACCCAGGCCGCTCCTGGTGAGCGTTAAGACCTTCGAGGGTAAGGATGGAGAAAATCTCCTGCTCTGGATGAG